CTATAAAAAGTTACGGTAAAAATCTACTAATAAGGTTGGCAAGATATAAAATAATACTTTTGATCATAGTGCCCCAGTCTTCTGTCAACTAGCTAACGCCTGAGCTACGACAGCAGTTGTTACCTCTTACAAACAAGGAAATGATTCAAAAAGACGTCCACTCAGTGTTCACTATCACTGACAGCTTTTGTAGGTGAAATCAACGAGCTCGTTTTTTCTGCCTGACACCTAGATTGTTACGAATCTAGGATTCAGTGCAAGTTAACTGTTTGAAAGGAGCACCTTCTCTTTCTTCGGTGACTGTTAACCGATAAAAGAGGGCTGAAACCACTTACCAGGATGCATACCAAGAGGTCTTCAGCACTTACTGAGAACGACTGGTCTGACGTCATCACAAACAGTAACTTCCCAAAGGTGAGCTATGTGCAGTCATCGAGGATGACGTCGCGCCAAGTCTGAGCTATTTAACAGGAATTCGGTCATTATATGGAGCCACTTTTAGTCGTCATACTATTACCACTGCACGAGTTTGAGTCTGTCACGTCACCCTTATTGTTATAATGATGTAATACTAAACCCATTGCCCATAGTATCGCAAACATTTTGGAGTATACCATCTAAGATATCTGAGTATCCAAAATTTACTACCATCAGTATTAATGTATCAGATGTAGAATGATGTTGTGACGGAGGAAGTCCAGAGAAACCTGTCGATAGAATGTAGGAATGAAACTGGAAAAGCAAAGTCAAACACAGTTGATGAAACCCATTAATTGGCAGAAATTATCGGGAAGTGGATAGTCTAAGAGGTATGCGCGAGATATCGACTCAGTGATATCAAATTATGCCTAACTCCCATGACCAAGCAGTAAGTACTAAGTTGGTTGGTTTGGCTGTAATCAGTTTAAGTAAGCCAGTTAGGATTACCTCCCAAGTAAGCCGGTTTCAGACGGTTAATGCTGACGGTGTCTTCGTGGCCTTTTTGTCTGAGACAAAGAATTTATCTGCACATTTAATTACTTTATATGGTCCGTCATACGGGGGTTCTAGAGGGCGACGCACAGAGTCATGACGGACAAATACGTGTGAAGAAGTTTATAAAAAGGGTTGAACGAAGACATCAATGGACTGTGGTCTGAGGGGAGCAGGTTTAATTGAACGCATTGCGTTTGTAAGCCTGCTGACGAGCTACCGCTGGTGAGTAGCTCGAGGGAGAAACAAACTCACATGGCAGTCGTAGAGTCGTGCCATATACTAGCTCAGCGGTAGTACAACCAGCACAGGTTTTTAAGGCGTTTCGCATCCCTAGGAGGACTAACGGAAGATATTCAGTCTAATGGGTGTTGTTTGCAGCTGATAAACCAGCTTTGAACTGTCTGTGTAGACGTTCTACCATACCGCTTGTTTGAGGATGGTAGGCTGTTGTTCGAAAACGCATGCAACCAAGGATTTTAGTCAAAGCGAAGAATAAACCACTTTCGAATTGCCGCCCGCGATCAGTTGTTATGGAAGATGGGCATCCAAAGTTTGCGATCCATCTGTCCACCAAGACGCAGATATATCCTTGAGGGGTACTGCTTCGGGCCATCGTGTGAAACGATCGGTGCAGGTTAACATATAGGCATATCCATGAGATTCTGGAAGGGGGGCAACTAAATCTATACGGACGTGTTCGAAACGGGCATCTGGGATAAGAAAGGTACCAAGGGGGCTTTTGGTGTGCCTCACCACCTAGCGCTTTTGGCAAGCTAAGCACGTGTGTGCCCATTCCCTCACTTCCCTATTAATACCACATCAACAAAACCGACTAGTTACGAGCCTGACGGTAGTTTGAATACCTGGGTGGGATAAGCCATGCAACATATTGGAAACGTTACGTTGATAACTTTTAGGCACGATGGGGCGAGGAGTACTCGTGGAAATGTTACATAGAATGGTATCTCTTCCCATACCTAATGTTTTCGATCACTCATGTTGAAGTTTAGTATCTCCTTATGAAGACGGCCAGTTTCACAAGGTGTATGCCGTCATTTTGGGTGAGGGAACGAATGTGCGACAAGACATATGCCACAGTGTTGTTCACTCCAGATATATGGCGAATATCCAAAGTACACTATGAAACGTAGTCCAGTTGTCGTGATTCTCTAGTTGAATACTTATCTGAAGTTGAGTTTAGACAGTAAGTCAGAGGTTTGTGGGCAGTGAAAATGATAGATTCACGACCCTCCACTGAGTGTCGAAAAGGACGTATGGCACAGTACATAGCCAGAAGTTCTCTGACGAATGTCCTGTACTTCATTTCTGCTAACTGAAGGCGCCGCGAAAAAAACGCGAGTGGTTGCCATTCTCTGTTGACTGGTTGTTGCAGAAATGTGCCGATTGCAGTGTCTGATGTATCGACTGAGATACTTAACGGTGCTGTTGGATCCTGATACATTAGAAGTGTAGCATCCGTGATAGATTTTTTAACCTGAGTGAAAATATTTTGAGCAGATGCGTAGAGTTCGATGGACTTGTTATTTCCTCGAAGAAGGTCTGAATCAGGGAAGCACAGTTCGGAATAAACCGTCGGTAATGACTTACCAAGTAGTTGAAAGTGCGCAGACTTTTCACTGTCTGTGGCTCTGGAAAGTTCAGTATCGCCTCAGCTTTACTAGCCAGTGGGCGAATGCCCTTGCAGTCAGTAGTGTGGCCCAGAAATCCCAGTGAGCCAACGCCTATCTGACACTTTTAAATATTATTGGTAACATCATGTCGGCGTAACCTTTCGAATGCCAAGTCCAAGTGTCTAAGGTGAGTTTCCTTATCTGGACTGGCAATGAGGCAGTCGTCTGAATATACATATACAAAGTCAAGACCACGAAATATTTCGTCAATGAAGCGTTGGAATGTTTGTGCCTCATTCCGGAGACTGAATGGCGTATGCAAAAATTCAAAAAGTCCTAAAGGCGCAATAATAGCCATTTTCCGGATATCTTCTGGTGCCATCGGGATTTGGTTATATGCTTTAAGCAAGTCGATTTAGGAGAATACAGATGCGCCATGGATAGCAATCAGGGGTTGTTTTGGTGTTCACTCGCCTGTAATCACCAGTGGGTCACCAATCGTCGCTATCCTTTTTCGGTACCATATGCAATGGGGATGCCCATGGACTATTCGATGGCCGAATGATGCCAAGGGTGAGCATATGATCGAATTCATTTCTGGCAATTCTCAGTTTGTCAGGAGCCAGTCGTCGTGCTTTAGATGTCACGGGTTTTCCTGAGGTTATGATGTGGTGCATAACACTGCTGGTTATGCACGGGAGATGGGCAATTAAGTTCCGGATATTTGTCGACAATCGGTTAAAAGTTGGATAAAGGATCGCCTTCATCTTAACGATTGATAAGCTGGGGCCTATATAGGTCAGCATGCTCACGGCCGACTGATCCCCTAACTCGATGTTACGAAATAATTCATCCAGACGCTGTCGATCCGTGAGAACGTTTCTCTTGAGGAGGGGTGCTTTGAGCAACTCGTACCAGTTACTTACCTCTGGACTCTACATCTGCACAGTTACGCACTTGCTGAATTCCCGCGGTAGGGCGTGAATAACTGCAAGGAACTGTGAACGTTGATCGGTTATCCCATGCTCACAAAAATCAGACTCAGCTATCTGAAACCACGTTTCAGCATTATCTGGCCAACATGGTACGAGCTGAATTGTTTTGGCAGTTGAGCGAATCCGAATAACCCTGGGGCTAGGGTCACTCATGACGAAATGTATGCCGATTACAATGTAGCACAAGAACAAACACAAAAAGGAACGAACTCACCGGGTTTATCTGCGCGTAAATTGAAGATGTAGTTCGTGGTTGGGCTCACCAGTTTAGAGGTTGACGGTATCGACGTTCGCGAATTGTACGGAGTATACTGATGCAAGATCTTTTACCAACAACTTCTATAGTGTTCGTTCTTCGTGTACCAAAGATAAAGCAAAAGACCAGATTTTGTCGTCCAAAGTACGTAGTATATTTCGGGACAAAATCGCGGGTAGAGGTGAATGCTTAGCTAGCTAGTAATCGTGCACGCACGTGACACGACGGAGTACCAAATGGCGGGGATGCTTGACCGGAAGCCTTCAGCTAAACAAGTCGACTTAAACAGTGATGGCCAGCATCCAATGTTGAGTGATGATTGCTGTGGTCAATAATTTTGGGGAATTATTTACCGCTACCCCCCAACTCCCTTCGCTTGTACTGAGTCATCTCTAGTTGTGTCTGCCCCACCATCACTGGGAAGTTCTAAGCGGCGGCGGGATGATAGCGTCCCACTGACTATCATTCCTGCCGAACCTACGTGTAATTCTCTCCAAAGGTAATGCAGCAACGACCTTTGACAAAGCTTGACTTTATAACGGTCCTGCTTCACTGCTACTCATGCAGTCTTCCTTTTCTTACTCTTAATTTTTATTTTTTTATTTTGATTACATCTTGATGCCACACCGTCTTTTCAGTGCAAGTATGGAATTTTCAGCACGGATATCGGTAGCCCAAATTTTGCAGGCTGACCATAGATATCGGGGGTGCGTCGGCAGGGGATCGAACCCCGGACCATGTGCATGGTCGGTGAGAGTCCTAACCACTGTGCCACCGACGCACTACAATATTTATCTACTTATTTTCATATATTTCCCTATCTCTTTTTCCGAATCGATTTCACAGCCAGTATTATTCCCATTCACTTCAGATGATGGGATAAAGGGCTAACTTCAGGTCGAGTCAGCGCTACGCTCTGAAAACACATGGAAAACTACCATCCAAATCCAACCTCCCATTCACCACAATTACCCTAGGCAATTAGTGGGATTGATCAAGAAGAGGTGAGTGCAAAGAAACAAACTTGATTCATGCCAGCTGATAAAAATGATATGAAACCTGACGGATTTTTTATCTGCACCAAATTAAGCGTGTAAAGGAAAGGAGCATTATTTAAAAGGCAATGTATGCTTGGTTGGAATTATGTTTCGAAGGCACAAGCCTAGTGAAATTAGTACAGTTAAGTCTAAAAAGAAGTTTTTAAGTGATAAAGAAAGTACTCATAAAATAAAGCATTTGAAAATCCTCATCGGTAAGTGGTTGGGGCTTAACACATTGAAATTTCAGATAATCTACCTAACGATGAATTACAAGCTTTTTTCATAGAGAATTCATCCCTAATATTTCAGGTGTTTAGTGACTGCTTCTTTGGTCTTGAATGGGATGTCAGACTAAAAGGTATGCACCCACTTACTAATAGTTCCAAATTTCCAGGTAGTGGGAATTATGTTAAGGATCTGGAATTAGTGCTAACGGTTTTTGAGGTTGTATTAATTTGTGTATATCTAATTTTTAGAAAATATTGTTGTTATTGCCGGAAAATATTCACAAAAGATGGCAATATAACTGTATAAGTAAGCATATTACTTTAAAAATCATTTGCTTAGTTGATGTAATCGAAGATCTCCTATACGAAAAAAATACACTGAAACTTCGTAAAAGAGGAATCAGGTTGTTTCTAATATGGTATCAAATCCTTGGATTAAATGCAACACATGTCTGCCATAAAATCTTCAATAACCTTATCCCGGAATTTGGCTCACTTGTCACTGAATACCAGAAACGTGAGAAAAACAGCGAACAACATAAACAAAACCATACCCAGAGCAAAAGGCCTTCCAAAGATATACGAGGACAAATATCACAAGAGTCAAGGATTTCACATGTTGTTGCCCCACGAGAACGTGTTGCACTCTTGACGTCAGCTGTCGTAGGAGAAGATGAATCAGTAAGTATTTGAATATCTTCTGGTTGATTTGTAATGATTTAGGTGGACGATGAGTCCATGGTCCTTCTCCAGGTTTTGCTACGATATTTGGTTACAGAGTCAATTAAAGTTGAGTGGTTGCAGCTTCGATATGAGCAACACTTAATGCAGTCATGGTTTTTGTTTGAGAAGTTGAAACATTCATATCTCCCTGTGATCTTCCCTTGGTAAGTATTCCAAATATTTTCGGGATTAACTACTTCTATCTCTTATTTTACCGTGAATGTTCGGCCTTTGTCTTATTAGTGGTACCGGACAAACAACCGAATCCGGTTTTTTGTTGTTTACTACTTTTAAGGGACAGCTTGATGTTTAATGAAGCATAACTATCGGGTTTCCAAGCACTTATGTGCCTAAATGTTTCATGACTGGGAAGCCATAAAAAGATAAATGAAACTGATTTATTCAAATCTGTTGACATATTAAGGCCTTAAAAAGACAAGTTCGATGGATTTTAAGCTAGACTAGGCAATAATTAAATAATCGTTAATAAAAATGTCTCATGAATCCTTCATCTATATATTTTCAAGTTTTGTGTTTTATTTACTATTAATTTCTATAATACTTGTTGACTGCCCTGATATTCTGTATTTTTTAAAATTCAGTTTATCTCCGTCATATTCAGTATACTCACCTACAACTTCATCTGTAACAAACAGCACAGTTCCATTAACTTCTAATATCTTACAAGATTATCCAATCCACCCGTCACGTCTTTCATATTATCAATTAGAGTTCACTTGCTGGTTGGCAGCCTTTGTATATACTGGTCCACGCACATCGAACCACCCAGCGTAAGTTTTTTTTATGGAATATTTGTTTTCTTCTGTAAAGGATAAAGTTAGAAGTATTTTTTTTTACCAGGTTACGTATTTGAGTAGCCTGAATTACTTTTAAGGGAATTGTTTCTCTGTTCGGTCGTGGTATTTATGTGGATGGTATGAAGAAGTATATAGACAAAAGTAACTCAGTGGCTACACATACAACCTTATTGTTTAGTAAGTATCTAAGAGTGAGGTTTTGTTCCCTTTTCCAATCCTTCAAAATTTTCAGGCTAAATCTTAGCACAATTACTTATTTAAGTAGTTTTTCACTTTTCATCTAGAGCATATTAATTGAATAATTTAATTAGGAGATATTTACTGTTTGAAGGAATTTTCAACTTTGAAAACATGCTTGTATTGCACCATGTCTTTTTACGTATGACGCATGTTCATTTGCCTACTGATGTATTCAGTACAGTCTGCACTACACCTACGATTACGGTTGATCAGTCTTAGGTAAATGGTCTATCAATAGAACGTAAAAGTAATCTTCAGAGTGGGGTGGTTAAACCAAGGCAGGTTATCAGTCCCTATAAACACAAACCATTAATCTGAACGGTGTAAGGAAGTGTAAATATTTTGGCTAGGATTTACTAGCCATTAAAAAGCGGTAAGTGATGTGGCTCTGGATTGACCTGTGACTTACCTGCATTCACATTTTATAACCCTATTGGTTGTAGCACCTCATTTATATATTTACCTGACTCTTTTCACTTACATCTTATTGTATATTCCTCGGGATGCTAAGAACCGATGGCTGGGGACTGTCGTTGGTATGACTCAAGATCATTTTCATGTTTTCCCATGTTACTATTCTTTCTGCAGTGCATTTCTCATTATAGTTCTCTTGAAAGTCGTCTATTTTCTATCTTTGTGTGCAACGTGCAGTGTGGCACATCGAAATGTTGCACTTCTGTGCAAATTACTATGTTAAAGCAGTCGGTCAGTCTTATAATCTACTACCTTGAATAATATGATTTACATTTATTTTCCCTTCTGCTTAATATGCGGACATGAGATGTGGCAACTTAAACTACCAAGGTAGTAATGCCTGTCCCTATTTCGATAGTGTTGTAACTAGTTTCAGACAAATATCTATTTCACCCTAGGATTAATTCAGCGGTGATTTGACTTCGTCTTACGAAGATAAGTTCCATAATAATCGGTTAGCCATTACATTTCTTCCTGCTGCTTAGGATTCTATAGTTTTTCAGTCGGCACACATATTAGTTTTACTAATTTGTATAATAGCATTCTGGTTGTGAAGTCACTGCGGAAATTGTATGCTGGAACGTACAGGAAATCAAATAAGCTTCACTATTCTCTACACAAATGTCCTCTGAGATTTGTTATTTGTTCAAAATGAGGTGACAATTTATCAAGTGTTTTAACAGCTGCTATGATTAATAGTACGACATCAAAGGTGCTGTGATTTCCTAGCTGTCGCGCATTAGTAAATACACCGACTGAATACAGTTTGAAAAGATGGAAGTAAATGCATGTTAGGGGAAAATTCGTTTAAATTCATCAAAATATGGATAGTTGGTTACCCATTATTTCCGAGAAACTACTTTCAGAAGTGGGAGTGTTCGACCCGCATTATGACCTCCAGCAACTGACTGAGTTTTCAAAAAAGAACTTGGCACCTCTTAAAGTGGCTCTCACTGACAGACAAAGACTGTGGGCTGATACCAAGTTTTGATTTAACTCTTTTTCAACTTAATTCTGTCATTTAACATTTCTTGACGAAGGGGGCAATGGCTTGGCATGTGTAACACGTGTCCTAGCCGTCTCAGTCGATGGAACTTCACAGTCTATCCTTTGACCTCCTTCCCTAACACTCTATGGCTAACTTCAATATTACTCACCAGTAATTTAGCCCCCCCCCCCCAGCAGAACTGCGTTTGTACTGACAAAACCATAGACAATTCAGCTAAACCCTTATTATCTTCCAGTTGTTAGCTACGGACACAGATAATTCAAGACATATCACCGTTATTGCTCCGGTCAATGTACCACTACACAACTCGTTATAAGTAGGTTGGTGGAGAATTCTCATTGTTTTGTCTTCGTGTTGATTAGGTGCTAGCAAATAAGCTGGCAGATGTTTGCAACTAGTGTGTAATAGTCTATATTTTCCTTGTCAAAAGGGGCAAAGTAGCGGGGTTTTGGGTTTCTTTCTCGATTTTTTAAATTTTCGTTAACTGAGACCAAATGCAGTTTTATTTTGGTTACTTTTTATAGTGTTTAATGTACTGCTTGAACTAGTGTCTTTCATTGTTCCGAATACTTTGGTAAAGATTAGACATTACCGAGTAGTAATAATAACCATTTTGTATTGATTTCAAATTACCAGTTCTTGTTGGTGTGTGTGTATGTATATCTCTAGAAATGATAAAAACTAATTGAAGGAATATTTTTCTCTTAGTTCATCAGATGGAGGTTTCACTTCAACATTCGTCACTCATGGAGCTGCAGTCGGTGGTGGTGGTGGTGCTGGGACATCTTTTCATTTAGGTGGTTTCCCGTGGGACACACATGGTGATCCAAATGAATTCCAACTGTCTCGACAGTTTCGTTCGCTGTTAGGTGGGTCAGCACATGGTGAACCAGAAACTGCATCACACTCGAAAGTGAATGGCATATCGAGACTTTCAAATTCTCCACCTATGCCGGCACCATCAATCAACCAAAGAGATGCTGATGATAGTGTTATCTCCACGTCTTTCCAAGATTCACTTAGTCAAACAGCACCAGTTACAGTTTCAAAACCAAACACTTATCATTTAGGCAAAGAAGCTCCTGTACCTCCTTCCATTTTACAAGCATCTTCAGCGCCACAGAAATTTGTTTTCAATGAACCAGTCTTTAACTATAGTGACAAGGTGGTAAGTAGATACTTATTTATAAAGGATGTATTGTGTTTATTTCGACATGAATACATTAATTAGTTGGTACTGCTGCAGGTAGTATCCTATACTCATCACATATGATCTGTTTGGTTTCATTTTGACTTAAGTATAAAACTTGGGCACTGTGCTAGAGTCTAACTCCATTATGGATAAAAATTTTTATTTTATTAAAATCACACAGTGTTGTACAGTAATATTCACTGATGACGTTTCAAGCACAAATTATTGCCACTCATAATCATATCAAGGTTATATGGTAGTTGAATGGTGGACATTACCTCTTTTAACTATCGGTCATTGTGCCTTCTAAAGTTGGTTCAAGAGTAGTGCTAAACACACTGACTAAAAACTTCATTATCTATGTCGAAGGACTAAATTAGGTTAAAAAATGTAGGCTGCGTCTGCGTAGTCAAGTGGCGGTAGCACATCTATATCAGTGATTGTATCCAGGATTTCTTTGGTAATGTTTGTTCATGTCGTCAGTACTGCCTAGTCAGCATCAAACTCAAAAATAAGATTCTCTATATCACTTGACATTCTCTCCCATGGAACCAAAGATGAGCGCGCATGAAATGTATTGTCATATAAAACACACTCATTTGTGGGGACGGAAGGAACGTGGTTGTGCATATTTTATAGTGTCGTCGTAAATTGCAATTATGCATCAGTTTCAGCACATGTGTGTCTGCATGAACCATAGGTGTTGTAAAACTTTTCTGTTCTTAGCTTCAGAATGGAAGCATCAAATTTGTGTTTTGGCGAGACGAAACTGGTAATTTTTGTGAAAGTAGCAACAATTCTAAGTAGATGACAATTATGTTGGTTTACGATAGAGATTGTTCGGCAGAAAGAGATGGTTAAGTGGATTATCTCTTAGGGAAGTGTCCTTGACAGCTTCTCGAAACAAATGAGTGGGTGCGGCTATAGTCATTATAATTTAAAGAAGAGCCACCTTTCGATGGTCTACTGTATGCTCCATTTTAAATCTGAGACGACAAAAAGCATCATGAACTTGTGATTGGCTCCACAAATTCTTTAAGGATTTGGTTAACAAGTAGTTGCCTAAGTAACCGAAGTGCCCGTTAACGTATAAGAATCAGATCAGTCTAGATCATTGATTATTCTGGTATGTAAGAAGATGGATTAATCTGTCTGTGAGATTCAGGACGACATTAGGTCGACTAGAAATTACCGCATAAAATGTTAGGGGCTTTCTTATTTTCACGGATTGATTTCCTGTCCGGGTATAGATGATGTAATTCTGTGAGAAAAGGTATTTCAGTACTTCATGGTTATGTGGGAATTTTAAGTAAACTTTTCGTAAGTCATCAAGTGTGAAATAATGACTGGTTGACTGATTAAGTTTCAAAATAGAACTTATCACAGCACTGCTGCAGTTCTAGTTGTCAGAATCTATGTAACACACAAAGGTGGACAAAAGAGGTTAAAAAAGAGAGATTCAACGGAACTATAATGAGTAGAGATGTGAGAGAGGAAGAATAGTAACGTTATTTGTTCTTAGCATCTCGAGGATCCCAACTAGAGGCAGTTTACACCTACCTAAGTGGCAGGCTCAAACTAACTGTTAAAGAGACTTCATGGATTGATGTCAGGTGTTGATTTAACCACCCCTAACTCTTTTTTTTAACCTAATCCTATATGGGCTAACATTGCCTTTTGAGGAAGATGATGGCTTGGCATGCGCAATACGTGTCCCAGCCATCATCATCAGTTCACCTTCACAAACTGATCGATTGACTTACCTTCCTTACCTAACACTACATTCAACTTCGATATTACTCACCCTAATGTGCAGCCTAACACAGTGAATAGAACGCAAACATCTGTGGACGAAGGCAGTTAGTCTTTTCATATATTCCACTTTCAATGGTCATATCTCATAGCCATAAAGGAGGAGGGAGCGAACTGCTGCGTGTCCTTCGATCGTTCTTAAGTGTGACATAATGTTAAAATATTTACCTGCATTGTTGCGAAGTGTGGTAGTTGTACTTTGTGCGTTGACATATCTATCTCTGGAAATTTATCATAAAAGTCCACTTTTGAATATATTATCACACAAATGCAATCAGAATGTGCAGAGGGTTTTTTTCTTATTGTTGTATATACGTTGTTGAATTATGAATAATTTTTTTTCCAGGTTTCTATGGTGCATCAAGTTCTATATGGATGTCGACAGAATATTAATTTAATACAAGATATATTACACCAAGCTCTTCTGCTTCCTCTAGAATGTCATAAAGCTCTTTACTATGTAACTACAGTTTACGGTTCTTGGTTAGAGGTATGTGATTGTAAATTTTTTTGTGTGTACATTCTCGTTATGATTAAGCACACTATTCGTGCACGCATATTTTCACTAGGTCTCTATTTCTGTCTATAAGTATGGTATATGCTCTGCGCCGTGTAGGTGCAAAGTATTGTTGCGAGATTGGTAGGAGCCTATACCTGTACTCAGTCTTGCAGGTGAACCCCTTTTACTTCTCGATAAGTTCATTTATCCAGGTATTTGTGTGAATGTTAATCGAGGTGTGATGGATGAAATCTCTAATCATATGATCAAAGCTAGGGTGGCATATGCCGATTTTGACTACCTCTAGTGTCGTGGCTATGTTAGCCTGGCTGTCAAAGTTCGGGTTTACAATATTTCGGTGTGCACAGCCTTGCTGTACGCCTGTAAAACCTAACCTCTTCGAGCTGAAGATGTGAGGCGATTATCCCTGTTTCTAAATTACTCGTCTTCTCGGGGTCAGCCATTCTTACCTTGGCTAAATTCTTATATTCCTACAATCTGACCACCCCGGATCTACTAGTCTGACCTATGTAGTTGACTTAACTCACAGTCATTGCAAGGTATTTTGTAAATCATATCCTTTTGTCTAATTGGGTCAACTGGGTCCTTTAACCTACATAGCTTGTCCCTGCCTGAGTGAGTTTGTAGGTTTAAATGCCACCCTAATTCCTGCTTCATTAATAACCCTTTCTTCTTTCTTCCCCTTCTGAAAGTAATCTGATGAAGTTGATGAAAGTAGGAGGATCTTGACAAGTGTGCTTGCTTACCTGCTGGATGACCCCCGTCAATCAATCTAACCCTATTTTCTTTACATATCGTTGTTTCTATTATTTATGTGTGTGTCGCATCTCTTGGTGCCCATAATATACTGTGTTTCGAGTTCTGTGGATATTCTAGGAGGAAGGTTTTCAATCTAATCGTGTTTTTTCATATCAAGGAATCATCTGTGTTCTTTCCTGAGCCACCTACAAATAATATTTCTGATGACAGTTAAGTAAACGTTTATGCTAGTGCGAATACTTTTCATATATATGTTCTCGATATGCTGAAAGTTAATCTATTGTGTAGATTTATTTGATGGACACTCTCATTTTCTCGATAAGTTACCACTAGTTGCCAACCACTAAGACTTGTTGGCCTGTAGTGTTAGTCGGTATTACTGTGACACATCTTTCATGCATACTACTGATTGAGCTGAAATTCACTGTGTGTGACAACAATTTAAAAAATTTAGCTCACTCTGTTAGGATTCACTAGTTGTTATTAATTTTAATCTTTATTAAATCTTATCATAATGGTGTTATTACTTTATTTTATTTGAAATGTAGAACAAATACAATCGTCCTATATTTATGCAACCTTTGGATGATTCAATGAAAAATTGGAATGAGGTTAGTTTATAATTTAGTTAGTTAATTTCATTTTTCCTTAACTCTGACTCATATACTGCTACTTGTACACTCTTTAAAAAAAGTTTTGAGTCATTCTGTCATATTCTGATGTGGACGACTTGGTGTTATCATTTTAACAGTAGTGCACTTATTCCCCCCCACTCCTTTACCTTCCGCTTGAAATATATATATATATGCGTCGGTGGCGCAGTGGTTAGGACTCTCGCCGACCATGCACATGGTCCGGGGTTCGATCCCCTGCCGACGCACACCTGATATCAATGGTCGGCCTGCGAAATTTGGGCTACCGATATCACTTGCTGAAAATTCCATACTTGTACCAAAAATACGGTGTGGAATCAAGCTATAATCATATAAATATATATATATATATATATATATATATATAGGGCCTCAGATTTAAACTTGAAGTTTCAATGTCAGCTTGTGTTGTTTTTTTTTTAGGCGGCAGAGTTGCTAGCCTCACATCCAACTGTACCTCTTTTCTCAGCTAGGCGAGGATTAAAGGTACGTCGGCTCGGAATCGAACCCAGACCACTTGCGTGGTTGACAAGAATTCTAACCTCGAAACACCGACACATGCAAACACGCCTTTTTCATGAGAACTCAGAAGTATATTGTATAAAATAAGTGTGAGGTTTGCTTACACTTTTTGTGATTTTTGGCGTATGGATAGAGTAATTCGAAACCATATGTTAAAAAATTAAACTTGTACAACATAATTTGTAAGAATAAGTTACTTCGAACCGATAGTTCATAATAAATACCAGAAAGCAGTATTGTATTGTACTTAGTTTTGCTTTAGTTTCTTATTAAAGAATTTATTGTTAGCTTGTTATATTGTCACGGACTGTTGTATGTCTGGTAGTATTGTCCAGTAGTTTTAGCGTCTACTTTTCCATGGTTGAACCGTTATTCGATCTGACTAGAAAGCACTACTGATTGGTGTGAGTGGTGTTCAACTTATTAATATTATTATTTGTTCGATTGGATTCCGATTGCAACTTGGGGCTTCAACAGCCCGTCTCCACTCTGTTCATTTCCTTACAGTCCTCGTCAGTTGGCCCCACGATTCCCCATAAGCTTTTACCGCCTCCTTACACGGTCTGCACCATATTACTCTCGACGCCTAACTCGTCGTTTCACACTACTCGCGTCCCACTACTTGAGAGTGTGGCGTGCGACGTCACTCGATGGTCCAATCAGTGTATATCCGATCCATTTCCATTTTCTTCATCGTATTTGTTCAGCAATAGGTTCTTGGTTGGTTTGTTCCAAACGTTTCATGTTCTTAATCCTTTCTGCAAATCTTATCTTCAGCATGGAGCTATCGAAGACAACTGTTAATACAAGTCTGCTGCAGCCTGTTGAAAATACTTTTCGTGGCGCACCAAGTTTCTGACCCATATAGAAGAACTGAATTAACATTAGTGTTGAAAATTCGAAATTTGTTCTGTCTAAGCTGAGCGCATAAGATCTTCGAAAGGACTTCAGAGTTTTGCCTTTCCGATTCTGATTTTGAAATCCACATTGGTGGCGTCTTTAGTTGAGACAATGCTTCTTAGATAAGTGAAGGAGGTAACCTCTGTAGAATTTCTCCCATTGATAGTGATTGGTGCTTGTTGTTGTTCGTTGGTTATCTTCATTATCTCTGTCTTCTCTATGTTCGCTTAAAATACTGTCTTCGCTGCTTCTTCTGCCCACTTGTTGGTTTTCACCTGTAAGTCTTCGTGTTTATGTGAAATTAGACATAAATCATCCTCAAGGTTCAGATCTTCCAGGATTTTCTTATCTGTTCAACGTATTCTCATCTAGACATAATAGAGAAGATTTGTAGCTCAGGCGGATGATTTTGATGTAGTTGTGTTCTCTGAGCTGGATAGTTTATTTGCTAAGCTTTCACCTTCAAGGTCACTATGAGGGAGAAAACTTATAAACTCATGGAGAAATCTAAAAGCTCACTTCAAAATTGAAGTATGCGCCGAAGATGTTGCCTAGCATAGGAATGAAGGCTTCGCAAATAAACTATCCGCCTCAGAGAACACATCTACATCAAAGTATTCTTATCTTCTCGCTTTCCATAGTCTGTTGCACGATCCGTCCCACCACAGTGAGAAATATCGCTGGTAATAGTAGTCAGGCTTGTCTTTACTTCAAACGTTTCTTTGAGTTTTCTGTTGTGGATCACTTGGCATGTGGGGCACTGTGTTATTAGCTGATGACAATATCCACTGGCCATTTTTGAATGTACTAATTGCTTTGTTAACATCGGTTACCACTATCCAATTTTGTTTTACTATTCAATAATTTTTCTTTCGATCAGTTACAGAAGTCAGAGGATCGTCCATCATCAACACTAGAAGAAGTTGGAACACAGGGAATCAATAGTCAGCTGAATGATACTAAGGCAACTGAACATTCCAAAGTTAAGCAACCAACTCCTGACCACACTGCTGTTCATAATCATCCCCCAATGACTAAATCAAAGTCTGAAGAAGATGATGCAGAAGAGTTGAGAGGTTGCCTACAGAATACAATTCAGGTTAGCTGATTGGATATATAAAATAATTAGTAGTAATAATAATAGTAATGTCAATAGACCTTATTATTTATTATTATTACTACTACTACTACCACTACTATTATATTAACAGTTCATTCATGTATTCTTACAGCTTTCTTAGTAAAAAACCAGATCTACCTGCAGGATTAATTTAATCAATAATTTTTATTGATTTTGTATATTTATTTACTTAGCTAATTACATTCTGTGCATATATATATATATATATATATACTTGAATTAATAACTTGTTTCATATACACTAACGACCTTTATTAAGGATGCAATTTTTGCACACAATATTCTCATTTCTAATTGTAGTTAAAATGATTTTATCACTGTGGGGGTTGCTTAGAAAGCATCTTTTCTCTATTTTTACATTTTAATTGTTCATTATTTTCTCTCTACTCTTAAAGATAGAGAATGTTGACCTCTCTCTGTGTATGTGTGAGTATGTGTGTGTCTGTAAGGATTATATTGATCAAAGCTTTAGAAAATAACAGATCACTTGTTCAGTTGTGATAAGAGTTGAAGATCTGATCACGACAACTATTTTGCACTTTTATTATATGGTTGGTAATGAGTCACACTTAATGTGTGTGTGTGTGAGACATGGTCTCGAAAACCTTCGGTATGTGGAGCCGATGTTCGAACCCCCTCCCTCTCCTGCACAGTAGTCTTCAGTAATCTAGTATACATTGTTTATCAAAGTTTATCTGCTTCTCCTGGGGGATGGACCTTACACTGGTCACGACTTCAGACTGTTATGTATGTGAATATGAGGACCTTGTAGACTACGAGCGAATCTAACTAATGCGCTGGCTAATCTGTCTTAATCGCACGTCAACAACAACAACAACAATACCGCCGGGCACGCAAGACAAATAAAAGAGAAGACTGGACGTTGATATGAGAGCTTTTACTGTCTCAAACAACAGTCGAAAATGTTAAACAACAACTCCGTATTTATACAATTAGAAAAATCAATGTCACATTTTAAAAATATTAACGACCTTGGGAATTCAGTAATTTAAATCAATAATCACGCAGATGCGTGAAATCAATGATTATGCTGCGTATATATTACAGACTGAAGAGTCACAAACAAAGCCGACAGAGAGTTGTCCAGTACTCTATGCTAGTTTCCAATGGCTCTCTTGAAAATTAATCTAGTTCCCAATAGTGGCTGACTATGGGGTGGGTGATGAAGTTACCTTTGGTTCTAGTGGGGATTCGTGACGAGTGGGATCCACTAGGATGGGTTGGTGAGGACACATACTCGTTGATGAAATTGGCTGGTGATGGCATCATAAGTGTGGTAAAGTAGTGACAGAAGTTGGAATTGATATTTCATCGGATTCGGTCTCAGTGGCTGAATGGTATGAACAGACTTTCCTTCTAACCTGAAAGTGGAAGATAGACTTACCCATCCTGTGTGACAGCATTCATTAGGAGAGTAGGTCTTTTATTTCATTTATTATAAAATTACTTACTAATTGATATGCACAGTTTCAGTCTTTAAAATGACGTGGTTTATTTGCATCACCCACCCATATTCCTCTTTTTTTTCCCGAAATATACACAGTTCTCGAAGTCGTCTATTCGTACTGCTTAAATCACTGGACTACCAGCAGAGTTTCTATCCACAGAAATGCCTAAACTCTCCAGCATTTCCTGTAATATCAAATGATCACTACATGAACTCGGTAATGTCAAGTTAGTCAGTGCCTCTAAATGGTTCAGAGGTTCGACAGGTGTGTCACCGAAAGCATTTAAAATAGGCTTCAAGCTTTTATCCTTAACTGACTTCTCTGGCTTCATACTAAAGATAAGATGGCTGGTCGGCCGGCCGGCCAGAAAGGATTCGCAACAAGGAACTCCGGCAACGAATCCACCAAGAACCTATTGTTCAATAAATATGCTGAAGAAAGAGGAGATCAGTCAGATACAAACTGAGGTGACCGTTGAGTGACATCGCTCGAGTGGAATCCGAATAGGAAACGGCGAGTTGGTTGTGTGTGTATGTGTGTGTGTCCGAGGGCGACATAAAGGAAGTCATGTGAGGAGGAGGTGAGAGCGCCTCTATGAGCAATCGTGAAGCCAGCCGAAGACAACGTCAGAAAACAGGATGAACTGGAGATGTGCTACAATTATAGATTATGATATTCACCATTGAAAAGGTTCTCTCGATGAAAAGCCTTTTGTAAAAGTTATATATACCTCATAATCGTTCCTTAAAAAAACTGGTCATGTCAAAATTTTAACCGATTTAGACACACTATGTTTTCGAAGTACTCACATAATATGGTTATTGTTATTACTAACATTGAACAGTATTCATTGTTTTAACTGTTATACCAGTTTATACTCTCATAGTATTTTGTATATTTTGTTCTGTTTCATTGTCTGTCTGTCTGTGTTTTCCACAACATTCCAATAGATTATGTTAGAAAATATGGCCAGCGTATTCTATGCTACAAGTTTGGACTCCAATTCGTCGTCTGTATCACATTCGTCTGTGAATAAATCAACAACTGCCAGTCCAATTGACTATACAAAGCATCAAATTGAATTATGCCGTTTAGTGTTACAGATTTTTCAATACGCTAGTAATAGTAATGAATTGACAGCAGAGACATGGTAATCATTTATCCTCTCCTACCTATGTGTTTTTGATTTGATAAAAAACAAAAATTCATAAAAAATTTAAAACATTTGTCGATAAAATGGGTCATTTTTTCTTTCTTAGTTTTGCTTTTATACTAATACTGCTGATTAATCACTTGATGGAGAGTTTTGCACCATCATTATCTTTTTATTGAGTTGAGTAAGGCATGTGTCACATATGAACCACACACACACACACACACACACACAATACATACATGTGGCTCCAATCCACCTAAATGTGTGATCTGTTTGCGTAGATAATAAGGGTAGGATGACTGACTGACTGACTGGTTTCAGCGTAGAACTACTTTGCACAATTGTGCAGCAGTTCGAGTTGCCACACTCCATGTCCATGTAGCACACACAAAGCAAGAAAAGAGAGAGAGGAAAGACAGACTCAACAAACGAGAGAGAGATAATAAACAGAAGTGTGAGTGAGGCGAAAAGAATAGTAATATGTAAGAACAGTAGGATTTTGTCGGATATTATGAACCATCCGCCCCCATTGAAAACGATTTTGAGCCAGCCATATCACCAATTGTCTCCGACCTTCATTGGTTTTTACTATCCCAAGGACCCCAACCAACCAGGAAGCCTACACCTCCCTACGTGGTTGGTTGGTTGCCTTAAACTAACTGTTGTGGATTTCATTGACTGATGAAGTCATATTTTGGTTTGACCACCGTGTGCTAGCTCTTTTCCAACCTGATCCATCCTATGTCAGTGGTTAACACTGCCCATTGTCGAGGAAGTCAGGTGATGACTAGGCGTGCATGCGTAACACATCTCAGTCGGTGCAGCTGCTTCACAACTTCATCGATTGATTTCCCTGCCTTACCTAGCACTCCACCGATTCCTAACCTCAATATTGCTCAAGGTAGAATGAAACAAGGCCTCATGGGGTGGTGGTGGTGATAAAACAAAACATATTAGCCATCTCTAAAGTCGCTTTTTCTTCATCCTTAAGGCCTTATGATATGGAATTTATTTACTGCCTTTCACCTCTACCTTCTGTAATTATTTTTTTTTCGATTATGTCTGATTTCCTGTTTAAATAACTGCGCACTGTTTAATTCTTCCTTCTTGTTCTAAAGTAAAATGTTTCTTTTTTTAAAATTGGCTTTAGGCAAATTTTTTAATTGATTTGTGTGTGTGTGTGTGTGCGTGTATATTTCTATCTGTCTATCTGATAATTACTTGTATCACTGTAGATTGCACTGTAGTTCACAGCATATTCTGTCAGTCTGTCAGTCAAAAATTAATTTGTTTTTTTTTTTATCAGGCTATGGTCAAACGGTTAGGGAAATTCTGCCCTAATCAGCACTTCCCACTAAATTTACCTCTTAGATAGTGGTAAAAATTTCGAACACTGACGAGTTGCACGATTTGTTTTTCTATGGCGTGTATTAATTGTAAAACAGTATAGCCTAACCATTGGTCATTATTATGCAATAATTGCCTACAATATGTGCTGCTTTTATGCTCTGAAGTTCCAGTAGCAGTGATGCTTTTTCTACAGGGTTGGGTCGCTAGCCTCACGCCCCCAACCTTCCCTCTTTCCTGGGCTAGGGAAAGTTGTAGAGTGCGTCGACCGGGAATTGAATACCGGACTGTGCGGGCATGGCGTGGTGTGGCTAGCGAACATTGTACCATGAAGTGTACACTTTCCTACGTGGCTGGGTAGCTTAAACTAACTGTTGTGGATTTCATTGACTGGTGCCATGTTTTAGTTTGACCGCCGCTAGTTCTTTTCCAGCCTGACCCTATGTCAGCTAACATTGTCTGTTGTCGAGGAAGGCGATGACTAGGCATACGTAACACATGTCCTAACCATCTCAGTCGATGTAATTTCACAGTCTCGTCGACTGATATGGTTAGGACATGTGTTACGTATGCCTAGTCATCGCCTTCCTCGACGGGCAATGTTAGCTGATATAGGGTCAGGCTGGAAAAGAGCTAGCGGCGGTCAAACCAAAACATGACACCAGTCAATGAAATCCAAAACAGTTAGTTTAAGCTACCAGCCACGTAGGAAGGTGTAGACTTCCTGACTGGTTGGGGTCCTCGGGACGGTAAAAACCAATGAAAGCTGGAGACAATCGGTGACATGGCTCAAAATCGTTCTCAATGGCCAGCGCAGATGCATCCACTCCTTGTGACTTATAACATTCAATGAAACTGTTTTGTTCTTCGTTATTACTATTCCTTTGTCTCACACCTCTGTTTACTGTCTCTAATATACATTTCTTCTACTTTCTTCTCTTGCTTTGTGTGCTACATGGAGTGTGCCGCACATATTTGCAAAGTTCTATGTCGAAGACCGACCGACCGACATTGTACCGCTAAACCACTGTACTGATACTCCAGCTAAATTAGTCAGTAGGAACAACTGTAATGATATTTTTTTCAGTTGAGCTTTGATTTTCCCATTGACTGATTGGAGCGAAATGTTTGGTCTCTGTTGACATGTCGGCTCTTTGTACGGATGTTTCGACGATGTCTGAGGCTACAAGAGCCACATCTTGTGCAACGGGCATCAGTTATCATTTATTTTTAGTAGTCTAGGGGATAACGTTTTGGCGATAGGTTTGAGTCTCATTGGGAACACCGCCAGTCATGACATCATGATATTCTTTGTACATATCCAAGCCACCGAAGCCGGTGTCTTAAGATGACTCTACATGCAATGATTGATGATCTCCACTAGGTTCAGACACTCACTGCTGGACCTCAGAATTACTGTCAAGATGATACCATCAGGGGCAAGTAATTTTACAGAGGTAGTTGCCTTACATCTGCAGCTCAGGGAAGCCAGGTGTAGAGCAAGACTGTCGAAGTATTTGTTTGAGAAGAGTGGTTAAGCTCATTGGTGTTTATTATCGCTTGTGTGGGTAGGCGGGCCATTGAAGAATTTCGAATTGTGTGCAGTTCAAAAGTCTACTGTTAGTGTGATCAAACCACCACTTAAATATAGTTGACATCATAAATATAGATGTGAATACTTTTCATTCTCATTGTTTTCGCTTCTTTTTTACTTCAGTAAAATAATGAATTGTCACATTTTCAAAAACAAAATATGCAGTCTGTTTGTTTTCTTTCTTTCTCCCTCCCTCTCCCCCCCTCCAACTCACGTCTACTGTCATACTTTCAGGTCGAAATTACTATCTATTCTAATGGATATCATGCGTAAAACAATGATTAACACGTCGCCAACAAATGTACAAAACTACAAATGGTTGTTAAACAGTAAACTCACTCAGAATCTTTTTCAGGTAAGAGAAGAAATTAACCCATCTCGTACTATAGATATGTGTAGAATTAGTAAAACTATTATTATTGTGATGTATGTGGCTCCCTCTAAGTATGTGTACAACTGCTTGATTTAGGCGTATTTTTAGTAGCGTTTGAAGGTTAAACAGAGTTAAACATCTCTACTCATTTTTTCTGTTTTCTCAGTGCCAATTATGTTCTATTCTGTTATGTACTATCATTTTTATCATGTTTTGCAAAACGTTGAGTTGAAATAGGGACGCCGAGTTGGTTACAGACGCAGTAATCACGAGTATTGCTTGTCTATGCCAACGTGTACAACAGCTAATCGATCTCTCAGCCAGGAACTTAAACGAGAGCGCACAACGACGTGACTCCCAAAGTATATTTTTCGCAATACATCACAATACATCACAAAGGATATTATCAATTAGTCTGTAATCATGATCAATAAAATAGTGGGCACTATTTTACGTAGGTTAATCCTGATTGGTTTATTTCCAGACTGACCTTGATCACCATATCACCAATAAAGGATAATCCGTTGTTTATCTGTCTACATATCACCTCCTTCTAGCAGAGACGTATTACTTGTCTATTTTCTGCACCTGACTGACCGACGTTGAGGGAGTGGTCTCTTGCTTGCCAGTTGGTGTGGGGCATTTGTGGCCTCCTCCCCATCAGAGTGTGAGAAGGTTTTTGGGACGCTTGAGAACAACTTGTTGTTCGAGACGGGATAGTTTGGCGTCAACTTGTAATAGCGAAGCACCTACCTCAGGTCTCTTTGGTTGGGAAACAGGTGTAGCACCATTCGGGGGACGTAGAGTCCGAACATTGATGGATTTTGGGCGGGCAAGTGCTGATTGAGAACGGCATCCGCGGTGACATGTTATTGCAGTCTTGGCATCAGTGTTACTTATACGGACAAGATTTGACGGAATACCAAGCACCACACAGTACCGGCAGAATGTTAGAGGTGTCATCTTGGGCAACGATTGCTATTGCGTGAGCAACTGGGACGATGGACGTTGGAGGTAGGACTGGGGGATGTCTGGTCAAGAGGTTGATGCAAAGGTAAACTTCATTGGTTTCTGGATCACCCTGCAGTGCAGAGTGGACTAAACTGGTTGTTCGAGAATTTAGTCCAACGTCGAAGAATCCAACAACCCCGTAGCCACTTTTATATTTATCAGTGTCAACCGTTTTGAGCAAAACACACAGGGCATAATGATTGACGTTTGGATTTTCCATTAATTCCCTTTTTTCCTAGTGATGAATAGGCTGTCTTTGAAAGGAGACAAGGGAAACTTTTATCAGCCTATAGAATCAGATAATTAGTGAATAAATACTGTCGCCAGTGCAATTGATTTTTTGAAGCTCATTTTTTTTTCTACTGAAACTGTAAATTACTAATTATTGCAGGTTTACAATTTTAGCTGTTCACTATTTGCGTGTATCGATAATGGACCATAAAACTGACTATCTCCTATCAGTTTAGGTTGAGGGTAGATAAACAGTATTTCATCCGTCTATACCAACATTTTGACAAGTAGTTAGTAGAGCAGACTACCAGACTATGGACCACACTCCTGTAAGGTCTGATGATATTACCCAGTCACTCAGACTGAAACAGGTGGGGACGTGATTTGAACCCACGAATCACTAAGTGGTTCATTGGCACTCGATTGGTACTCCATTTATTGCCAATGGATCCTGGGTTCGAGTTCCCCTCCTCCAAACTGGGCTACTGAGTAGTACCATCAGTCCTCACACAATATATGTAGCTGTTGTGAGATTTCGCCACTTGTATTTGCAATACGCTGCGCTGAATAAGGATGTCGAAGCTGGATACGGATGTGGTTGTCACGAATATCGCTAGTCTAGGGGATGTTTAGCCTGAAGGGTTGATGCCGAAATTTTAGGAAGTCTGACGAACTGCACTGATTTCAGGATCAAACAGGTTGTTTGAGAGATTCGTCCAACATCGAAGAATCCAATAACCCCGTCACCAATATGTTATGATGTTGCCACTTTTATGCTTGCAAATACACTGAGCTGAATTGGGATACCAAAGCTGGACACGGACGTGGTGATAGTGAATATCGCCAGTCTAACACACCAACAACACTATACGACAGCTGCCTATTCCCCCAGACCTCTCTACTTAAGGCAGAGCACACAACAATGTGAGACGAAAAGTATATTTCAGCATCAGCTACATTATGTTTACTGGGGGAAACAATGTGCTATATATGTATACATGGACAATGATGTAAGCGTGAGAGAAGATAACCATTCAAGAATAATCCATTTTTTATCATCTGTCTACATATGTGTTGTTTGTGCCTGTTATCTGGAAAATCTGTTCCGGGTAAGTGAGTTTCAACAAATATAAATATTGGCTGAAAGTACTGTTACCAGAAATAAGCTCTTACACATTGGTATTCTAGTAAACGCAAAATTTAGTCGCCTGTCTATAGTTCGTCTAACACATTTGGTATTCAATTCTACCCGAGAATGCACATGAATTAAAGCGTTCACCTTTTTTATCTGTTGAATTCCTCTTGCACTGAATTTTGTCAGTGAATAGTTAGTTTTATTAAGACAGACTCGGTCGTACAGCTGCTGATTAGTTTTTTCCAAATTGGTCTTTCTATGCAAATTGTTTTGCTTCTTCACTTTTTTTTAAACATTGTTTCTATGTAGACACTGAATGGTGCCTTATTACGTGCATCTCTGTTCTCACCAATATCTTCGGAGCCTTGGGATCAATGTTTAAGCGTTTATTCAAAGTTAACCCACTGGCCATCATTGATAATCGAATGGAAAGTATGTGTTAAATTACAATATCAGTCATATTTATTTCATTAATTATATGATATTTATCACATCAGTAAATTCAAGCGGGGCACATTTTCATATATTAGTTAACGTTTTATATGCTGTATTTTTCTTATTGTCAAATAAATTCTAGTAGAAAAGTTGAATGTGGTAAAGTGTAATTTACTAAATGGTGTTAAGTGTATGCTTTATTTCTCATAATCTGCTTTCAGGATAATCAGACAACTTTCAAATTTCATTTTGGCGGTGGTAGAGATCTAGTTTAAGGATAGAGAGTGAAATGGTAGAGCGTGTTGACTACTCCACTTCTCTAGTGTAGATGTGATATCCGGTCATCGATTGCTCTGTCCATTACGGCTGAAACATGACCATTGAAAGAGAAATAATTGATTTCAGGATTTCATCATGAGCTCACATTAGTTAGAGAACCATTGGAAAACCTGGGAGTACTGGGCAACTGTTTCGTCCTAGCTTGGGACTCTTCATCAGGTCGGATGTGAAGACAAATACTCGCCGAAGACACTGGCGAGTGGTCGCGCTACGTCGTGAATTGGCAGAAGTTAGAATTCATGGGCCATTGGATCGGGTCCCAGTGGCTTGTAACCAGAAGGTCCTGGGTTCGAATCTTGGCGGTGGGTGCGTACTGATGAAGAGTCCCAAACTAGGACGAAACAGCTTTCCAGTACTCCCTGCAGGTTTTCCAATGGTTCTCTAACTAATGTCAGCTCATGATGAAGTCCTAAAACCAATGAAATCCTTACAAACCAACACTTGCAAAATAATTGAAGTGGCTCACTCTCTGTGACCACAGATATTTGAGTTCTATCTCTTGTCTGATATTGGTATATACTGTGGTGAGTAATACTGAGGTTAGGTGTAGAGTGTTGGTTAAGAAGGAAAAGTCAGTTGATGAGTTTGTGGAGCTGCATCGATTAAGATGGCTGTGTTAACATACTACGAATAGTGAGACATCTTCTTCTAGCGATACCAGCTGACACACGAGTAGGTAGGTAGTAAAGGATTAGGGGGCGGTCAAATCACAACTTGGAATCAATCCATGAAGTCTTTGACTGTTGCTTTGAGTCCCGTGGAGAGATATAGACTGCCTGGTTGGGGTCCTTAATACGCTGAGAACTAATCGCTCGAGACTATTGGTGATACGGCTCAAAAGCGTTCTCAGTGGAGCAGATGCATTGACCCTGTGTAAAGTAAACATTAAATTCAGATGCTCTCTGTCATTATCTTTCGGCTCTCACATCAATAAGTCAACCAAGGAGGTCGTATTCTCTCAATTATATATGATTAAAAATTAATGGGTTAAATACTTTTTGTAAATGTTTTTTACATATCGCCTTTTTTATATCAGTTATTTTAAAGTAACAATCATTTTCACCTTAATCCTGTTTTCAGAAAGTTATGCGAATGTTGACGTCTACAATGGCGAAATTAGTTTATGGTGTCGATTTGTCTGATTTACCTCAGGAGAAGAAAGGACCTCGAATTAAACGTTTAGCAGGTTTGTGTAATTGTTTAAAAGTAACATTTCCTTTGTGTTGTGCTACGTATAATATGCAAGAGTATAACTTGAGTTGCCTTAAAATGTTAGCTAGAATGAATTCAAGGGTTACTTTGTAAGGATTTTATTTGTTAAAAAATTGACTGTGGATTGATGTCGGTTAGAGAATTATTGAAAACCAATCAGGGACAGCTGTTTCGTTCTAGTTTGAGATTTATCGGCAGTATGCATCCACCGTGGTCAAACTTCAAAAAAAATGTAATCCCTACAAGCTAACTCTTGAAAATTAATCTGATGCTCGCTAGTGACTGGCTACGGAACGGGTTGCCTGAGGTTCTAGTGGGAATTCGTGACCAGTAGGGTCAATTCTGTCGGTTGTGAAGACATATACTCGCCGATGACATTGACCGGTGGTCGTACTGAAAAATCACGTTATCTCCAACCACCAAATCATTAAATGCACAGAATTCTTCGAAGAGTTCTGACTCATCTCTCTGAGAGTCTCTCGATCCATGATGAATTCGTTTCCTGTATTGTCTACTCCCAGTTTAGCATTCATATCGCCTATAAGGATTTGGGATCTTATCCATTACTGTTTGCAGTTGTCTATAGAAATCTCCCTTCCTCTCTTCTTCTGAGTTGTTTGTAGGCACGTAGCATTGGATAATTTAAGCTTTCCTTCCTTTTGAGTTGAATACTGCTGTCATTATTTTACTGGTGATTGGTTCCCACTTCATTATAGCTTTGGTTGCTATTGGTGACATCATGATAGCCAATCACTGCCTCAGTGTGCTCGCGGTTGTCGTCTGAGTGGCCGGAGTAGATTGAAGGCTTTCAGTAGCCTGCGTCATTCCGTCTCTCTCTAATTCTAGCGAAGAATAAGTTTGTCTTCTATATTTTTGTCGTAGCCCAGATTGATTTTACGTGATAGGGTGGCTAGCCCCATGCTTAATGAACCCTCCCTTTTTCCGCCGACTTTAGACAGGCCAGTAAACTAGGCAAGATTAGAGTGAGTACAACTTAAGTTTCTTCATAATGTTATTTAAAATACATTCAATTGATGTATACAAATGACAATCTTTTTTTGGCATTTTGACTGGACACTAGTAACTAGTGTGATGTGTCTAGTCCTTTCTTTGGTACAGACTGAATTCTATCAGTCAGGTTTGTAATGTGGCCACCATTCTAACCTTTTTTTTGGTTAATTTGATCAAATCAGATATTATTAATATTATGCTCCTACACGTATATGTGTGCATTGTATGTTTAACTGGTAGACATATTCACATTGATAAGATTATTCTATTTCATATGCGACTGAGTCAGCTGATCAAGTGATTTTCTGTAATACTCTATTAATAACTTTTTCCCCTTTTATTGCATAAAGATTCCATAGACGAGAAGACGACACCATTGCCATCCTCATCATTATCCACCATGATGGAGAGCTCCTTATTTATTAGCCTTTTTTACAATCAATCCAATATTTCACAGAATATTTCACAATTTTTGTGTGAAGTAGACAGCGACGGTAAAGAATCAGTAGTCGTTGGTGAGCAACACAATATATATTATACGTGTGTGTGTGTATGAGGAAAACACTTGATTGATGAATTGTTTTCAATTAAAATGAAACGCCTGAAGATTAATCACACTTGATTATTTATTAATTCTCCTTTAAAAAAATATCCTTCTTAATTCTTTGTGCTATGCCTCTCCCCCCCGTCCACCCTTAGTTGTTCACGAATTATTCATGATTGATTTAAATGTGTGCAATGCACAAATTCAATAGCCAAATTCTTATGAATTCTGATTGCCTTTTATAAACCGTCGAATTATTTAATCTCTATCAACTATGAATCGTTCTTGTTGTTGTTGTTATACTGTGATTTATTATATATTTTTTAAATTATCATTATTTATTATTCTGATTTAGTTGTGTTCTCTCTGAGCTCTGGTTGATTTAATCGCGTAGCTTTCGTCTATCTGTCTGTCTATTTTCGATACAGAACTTTGCACCGATGTGCAGCAGTTCAAGTCCCCACACTCCCTCTATGTAGCACACAAAGCAAGAGAAGAAATGCATATTAGAGACAGTAAACAGAGGTGTGAGACAAAGGAATAGTAATAACGAAGAACAAAACAGTTTCATTGGATGTTATAAGTCACAAGGAGTGGATGCATCTGCGCCAGCCATTGAGAACGATTTTGAGCCATGTCACCAATTGTTTCCAACCATTGGTTTTTACCGTCCCGAGTACCCAACTAGTCAGGAAGTCTACACCTTCCTAGGTGGCCTAGACTAACTGTTGTAGATTTCATTGACTGGTGCCATGTTTTGGTTTGACCGCCGCTAGCTCTTTTCCAGCCTGATCCTATATCAGCTAACATTGCCCGTCGAGGAAGGCGATGACTAGGCATACGTAACACATGTCCTAACCATCTCAGTCGATGTAATTTCACAGCCTCGTCGATTGATTTCCCATCCCTCCTTACCTAGCACTCGATGCCTAACCTCAATATTGCTCACCTTATTATACCACTTCACACGGGAGATAGAACGCAGGCACCTATGATCAAAGACAGCTAATCTTTTCATGTCTTCCACTCTCAATGGCCAGGTCTCACAGCCATAAAGGAGGACGGAGCGAACTGCTGAGCAGTACACACGCCCTTTGGTCGATAGCCGGATATCACGTCTACTCCAGAGACGGCGTAAACTGGCATATGCGAAACTAGCCCTCTGTATCCGTACTGAGATTTCGTCAGAGATCAACCCGTTGGGGCTGATGGTACTTCCCAAATAAGTGAAGCGGTCAACGTGTTCTACCACTTCACTCCCTATTTCTAAACTAGGAGTCAATGTAGTCCAGTCCTGTAACATCATCTTACATTTGGCGGGAGCGAATCGCATGCCAAGCATTTGTAGATTGCAGCCTGTCAAGGTGTTCAGAAGACTCTGCTCTATTTTGTCAGCGTTCTCGCCTAGACAACATCTTCAGTGCGGCTTTCGCAGTTGTTAAATCAACCAGTTCAGAGAGAACAAAAAAAACTAAATCGAAACCATCCACTTGAGCTACAAACCTCCTCCATTGTATTGTTATTATTATTATTATTTGTGATTACAGGTTCTAATGTAACAAATCGAGCACGTCCAAAATCTCTAACTGAAGCAGTATTGAATTATACCGGTTCCACTAGTGCATTATCTCCTCCTCCTGTGCCTTTCCCAAGTGCATTATCTGTGCTAAGTGTACATGACAATTTATTAGATGATAATCTGGTAGTTATGCCACCAAATTCTGTTGATAGTGGTGGTGGTGTTGGCGGGGGTGTGGTGTTGGTGGTGGTATTGTTACAGAACTAGAGGATGGTGATCATTCAGAAATAAGAAACCAAAGAGGAAGAAGAAGAAGAACAATAAGTAGCAATAGTAATGGTGGTAGTAGTAGTAGTAGAAGAAATTCACAAGAAATTTCTGAAAAGCCTATTACTTATCGTGAAATAAAACCACTAAAAGCTAGTGCATATATTGAAAAATGGACTTTTGAAAATGCATATCATAATGAAAATGCTGGAGATGCAAAAGTCAATAATGCTTCACAGTTGAATGATCCACTTGAAGAAGATGAATCTATTTCACTTGGTTTAAATGATGATTTAGTCGACAATGAGGAGGCGGAGGCGGAGGCAGAGGAGTCAACAGCAAAGTTAAATGGGAATTGTACATATCATGTATCATGTGATCCACGGCCTCATTCTCATCTGATGTTGTCAGCTAGATGTGAAGAAGAATCGATTCCTTATTCGAAGGATAAGGCTTCATCAACATTGGTTAAAGGCAAACAAAAGTCATCGGTGAGACGTGCAACAAGTGAAATAACACTACAATTTAAGGTAAGCGGCATTGTTTGGTGTAATAGTAATGTTAGTAATCGCTTTATTCCAAGCAATAATTTCTCATACAGTATGATATTTTCAGCGTTTTTACATACTGTAACAATTTAGCTCCTTATACATATATATTTATAAATACATAATATAGTGAAAACAATAAAACCACAAAACTTAATGAATAATAAATATAAAAATATTCAAATTTTATAAATACTCAATTCAATCGTGTATTACTGAGTTATCGAAGAATGTGACAGAAAGGTTCTATGCTGTCGACGAATTACCAGAAAACTTAAAGAAACTATTTTTAGATTATGTGGATGTAATTGTGAGTAATAGGAAAGAAAAGAAACGCCTGAAGCTGGTACAGAGCTTAGAGAACAAGGCACCTGAAGCAAGATTTCCTCCGAACCCAAATCGTTTTGTGTTTAATTTTTCAGATGTAATACTTAGTGAAGTGTGGGTCTACAGGTTTTATCGCTTGACCCTAAATTTTGTGATAGCCATGTAAATAAAATTGATGCACAAATTCAGTTCAAGTTCTACACTCAAACGAAGGCCTAACACCCTCATCAACTGAAGATGTTGAAAGACTTAAATCAACGCTGGTCAATGCTCGATTATTTTGTGTTTTATAGAATAGTAAATAACTAATATAAGAAATAATATATGTTTCATTTGTTGGTTTACAGGGCTTTGATTGGTTACATGATTGATCACGGATGAAATCAGGTAGAGAACCATTGGGAAGGCAGTAGGAAGTACTGGACAGCTGTTTTGTCCTAATTTAGGACTCTTCATCGGTACGCATCCACTGGGATTGAACTCCACCAAGTCAGGCAAGAGGACAGTTAGTCGCCCTTGACATTGGCTGGCGGATGCATTAAATACATACCACGAATTGGCAGAAGTTGGGATTCATGGACCATTGGGTCGGGTGCCAGTGGTTGAAGGGTCTACGGGTTCGCCTCGTAACCGGGGGAGGTCCTGGATTTGAACCCCGGACATGGGTTTGTACTGATGAAGAGTCCCGAACTAGGACGAAACACCTGCCCAGTACTGCGTGCTGGTTTCCCAATGGTTCTCTACTTGGTTTCATCCCGTGATCAATCCTGTAACCAATTGAATCCCTGTGAACCAACACTTGATAAATAATTTACGTAATAACAACTCTGGTCACCATTCGCTATTTATTTAAATAGGCTCCTTTCTGACATTTGTCTCTTCCTTCACACAAAACCGAAACCAAAATTTTGTTGGGTTACATTTTTATATTTTGCTGTACGAGCAGTAATTCTTATGAAACTTCTTCCGGTGTCATCCCCCGGAGGGATACAAAGACAAGGTTGCGAATAAATAGGATATTCGATATCAGACAAGATGAATTTAGCCAATCGCTTGCAAGAATTAAAATAACTATTGGGAACAATGTCAGTTAATTGAGTTAAAGGCGCACCACTAATTCTACTTACATTTTTCTATATAAAACATAATATGACATAGTCTTTTTTGAGAAGCCCAGGGAAGAATAAAGAAGAGTGGGCAGAATATATGAATTAATGAATTGTAGGAGGAAGAGGTTGAGTTATGCCAGCAGAAAGTCTCAACTTCTTTATGCAGTAAGTCGAACGAAAAAATTCTCTTAGAAATCAACAGGATATGAGACGGTCAACAGCGATTCTAAGAGAAACTGATGCCGAGATGAGAGATATTCGATTTACTCCCTATTAGAGTGCCGTCAATATTACAGGAATCATGCGACTGAATCAGTCCACGCACGCCAGTCTTGTTCACATCTGAAACTAAACTCAACAATATGACATTTAGATGGATTCAGTTGAAGATCATTTAGGTGAGACCGTTTGTTAATTTCTGACAAGAATCTGTTCATCATATCAGAATAATCCAATACAGAAACGATTTGGACAGAAATTGTCAAATCATCAGCACACTAAATGAAATTAGCTGTGGAAGAATACTGTAGGTCATGCAAACGGAAAGAAAAAAGAGAAATGGAGAAAGTGCATCACCCCGAGGCACACACACCAGCTTCTGTCAGCAAAGCAGTCGAGCACGCTTCTCATGTTATTATGTAACTTCATCCATCCTTGTAAAAGTCACCTGTATTTCAATCACTTTTGTTGTATTCATTTCATGGTTCTCGGCATTTGTGTATGTGACATCGTTTCACAGTAGTTTTGCATACAAAGTTAACGTTATTTTCGTGCACACGACCTGGTCATCAATCAGATAATATGCAATTAATAGTGTTCTCTGAGCTGGTTGGTTTGGTTGCGGAGCTTTCGTCGTCCTTCTGGACAACATCTTCAGCGCAATATTTAGCATAAAGTGAAATGATTTAAATTTCTTCATGAGTGATATAATTGCGTCTCCTGGTAACCATCTTTACATATGTATTGACCATTTTCTATTGACTTGGATTTTAAACTTTCTGGTACTTTTTATTAGTTGGTATATTTCGTCTATATTAACGTGCTTGTTAATTGCATTTTCGTTTGAGTACCAGGCTTCTAGGAATTCCCTGACTGCACTTTTGGTGTTTCCTCTGTTTAAGATTTCGACATTATTCCAATCAAACTGATGTCCATAATTGTCTATATGCATTGATACTAAAGAATATATATCGTATCTTTTCACGGCTGATTTGTGTTCTTGGATTCTAATTCGAAGGGGACGCCCACTTTGGCCGATGTAATGCTTGTTACAGTTCATACAATTTATTTTGTAAATGGTATTGATTTTATCTCCTTTTTCTGTTGGATCTTTCGGTTTGCATAATATCGAATTAAGAGATTTGACTGGCTTGTGTGGTATATCTATATCAAACGGTTTCAGTAGTCTAGCTGTTATTTCAGAGATATTTCTCATATATGGTAGAATGAATTTTCTTGTGGTCTTTGATGATGGTTTCTTGTTGGTGTTTTGATTCGACTTTAAACACTTTTTGATGAAATTTTGTGGATAACCATTCTTTTTGAAGACCGTTATATATCACTCATGACGAAATTTAAATCATTTCACTTTATCCTATATATATATATATATATATATATATATATATATATAGGTATTCGATCAAGTGTCTTTAATGTTTTCTTCACTTAGGGTAACCAACGTGCTCCACGGGTTAAGGAGTCGAAGTTCGATCCGACATTTAGCGCTTTTACAAGAGATGAATATCAACGTCGATTGCATTCTGAAGTACCTCAACACCATCATTTATCCGATTCACTTGATATACTGACAACTGGTACTCTTGCAGGCAGATACTCACATCCTGCAGATTTCACTGCATCCAATAACTATAAACATCAGAGATACTTTCAAAAGTCTTCAGATACCATCATCATCATCAGCATCAGCATCATCATTCTGCTTCTAGAACGTCTACTGCAGTTAGTTGTGCTGAAGACGATTCTCTTTCTTTAAGTCAAAATGGTATACATACAAGTAGTTGTGCGTCGGGTGAAGAAGTTCTTCATGAATCTGTAAAGGTAATAAAATGTGATGAATCTTTTATTGTACAATTTTCCAGAGCTTAGTAATTTTGGAACAATTTTTCCCAGATTAGTTGACTACAATTAAAAATGATCATAAGTCAGTTTTTGTTTCGTCCGTATATTTTAAAATTTTCAATCTGAATGCTGTTTTAATGTGTTTATATTTGATCCATTCTTGGGAGAAAGTAAAAACCACCTAATTGGAGCGAGTGACTTTTATTTTTCAGAAGTGTGGGGTAAAAATCAGAGGATTAAGTCAAGCAAGATGGCAAAAATTGTAAAATATGCAAAAGTGGAGATGGATTGGACACTCGCTGAGGAGACCGTTGGGTGACATCGCGCGTCAGGCCCTCGAGTGGAACCCGAAAGGGAAGCGGTGAGTGAGACGTCCAAGGATGACATGGAGGAGATCGTGTGAAGAAGAGTTGAAACAGTATGGACTAACATGGATGCAAGTGAAAAGTACAGCAGAAGACAGAAGCAAGTGGAGGCGTGCAGTTGAAGCCCTATGTTCCACTAGGAACCCAAGGGAACAATAATAGTAATAAAAAATTGATGATTGACTTAGTATTTTATACATTTTAACTTATCCCGGTAAAGTCGGTGAGATATTCAGACAACATGCGTGTAGTTTTTGAGAAAGTTCAGGTATGGGAGACGATATACCATTGGTATCGGCGTTAGAATGCATTTTTTTAAAAATTCAGAGTTAGCTTGAGGATGTCAAACTGTGTCTCGACTAAGAGGTGCAAATACAGAAGTCTAAGGGTCTTATGTGTATAAATATCAGTGCTTTGTAACATCTAGGATCTTAGTCATGTGATTATTATAAGATATGAAAGTTTGAAGGTGTGAATGTCTTACCATCCCGAGGACCCCAACCAACCAGGAAGTCTACACCTCCCTACTTGGCTGGTTGGCTGGCTTAAACTAACTCTTGTGGATTTCATCGATAGATGAAGCTATGTTTTGGTTTGATCATCATGTGCTAGCTCTTTTCCAACCTGATCCATCTTATGGCAGTGGCTAACATTGCCTATTATTGAGAAAGGCGATGGCTAGCCTAGGCATGGTTAACTCATATCCTAACCAACTCAATCAATACAGACGCTTCACAACCTCGTCGACTGATTTCCCTTCCTCACCTAGCACTCGACTGAAGCGTAACGTCAATATTACTCACCCTATTATAACACGGGAGATAAAACGCAGGTACCTGTGATCAAAGGTAGCTAGTCTTTTCATGTCTTCCACTTGGCGGGAATATAGATTACAACGGGGTTTAGAAACAAAATTGCACATGATTTGGATGCAGTTACGTAATATTTGAAGGTAGTTTTGTAACAAAGACATGTGAGCAGGATGAGCATGGAAACAAATTGAAATAATAGTTTTTATAGCTGCATTTGAAAAAACAACAACAAACGGAAACGATAGAGTCAAATCAAACTAGATCCTATGGTAAATGTAGTGGTTGGACTAGTTTCTTTTGAACGCATAACTCTGGCTTTTTGATGCATATTGTGAAGTCGAAAATATACTGCCTTTGGTCGATTTTTGTTCACTTTTTAGATGACTGTGAATTGTGACTAAGTTGAGATTCTGTGTCAGGTGTTCAATAATGGCGCCTCTGATTGAACCAGTGCCGTTTCTTCTTTGCACCCATGGTGGTTGATTGTTATGTGCCTGTCGTCACTTGATATAACCGAGTGGGCTTATTATGCGTGGGTATAATTATGTTGATGCAATGTACAACTCATTTGATACTATAAATACGCCTATTCACTCTTAGTACCTTCAGCCTTACTAAGCTGTGCAAATATCAAAAGACAAAGACTGGCCTGTGACTACTGTTAGGGTACAACTTTATCAGGCCAAAGCACATTATATTTATGTATTTCTAACCACAATAAAATTTCGCTACTTCAGTGGAAAATACATTGTTCTCATTGGTAGACAACTCGGCTAGGTCCGCGAAAAATACATATTGGGATTGGTCACAGGATTTCATCATGAGCTGACATCAGTTAGAGAACCAGGTGCAGCAGGTCTGGTGTGAGGACAAATACTCGCCGAAGACATTGGCTAGCGGTCGCGCTATGTCGCGAATTGGCAGAAAGTTAGGATTCATGGGCCATTGGATTGGTTCCCAGTGGCTCACCTTGTAACCAGAAGGTCCTGGGTTCGAACCCTGGCGGTGGGTGCGTACTGCTGAAGAGTCCCAAACTAGGACGAAGCAGTTGTCCAGTACTCCCAGGTTTTCCAATGGTTCTCTAACTAATGTCAGCTCATGATGAAATCCTGTAACCAATCAATCAAATCCCTACAAACCAATACTTGAATATTGGGATTGGCTGGTGATTGGTCCAGGATCAAGGTAAGAGAAAGATAATGAAATCTTGCAGTGAGACCAAGGTCATATGATCACAAGATGACTACTATTTTAACCGCTTCCTATCAAGTAATGTCCTCCCTTTCGTGTTCTTTTCTCTCTAGTTAGATCAGCACTCAGAGCTAGATACTTAAATATTTTTCATCCAATAGTGAATAGTCCGTATACCTTATCCATTCTAACAAGAGTATCGCTTTCGCCTTTAGTAATTTAGTTGTAAAGTCATTAAATTCAACACTTCAGTAATTGTGTTGTGGTTTCAAATCCTGCCTGAGGCTCAGGGTATTATGATTAGTCCTCATACATTAACTGTGGCTCATAGCCCCTGGTACATGAGAAATCTTTACCAGGTAACAACAACTCCAACACTGATTCAAACTGGTTAATATCTTTGAAGGATTGAATCTCATGAAGCAGTTACACTATTATATCTGTGCGTCGGTGGCACAGCGGTTAGGACTCTTGCCGACCATGCACATGGTCTGGGGTTCGATCCCCTGCGAAATTTCAATTCATTTATTATATTTTTAAATGTCAATGAAAGTTTCATATGAATTATTTCCTTTAAAGCGTTTCACTTAAATCTAAATCATGCCATCCGTTCCCTCTTTGGGTCTTACTACCGGCTAAACGAGGTTTAGGAATACGTCGGCTGGTAATCTCACTTTAGACAACGTGTGCAGTGGTTGGCGAATATTCTAACACTGGACCACCACCGACACAGTCGTTGTTATTCAGAAAAAAAATGTTTGTCAAGCGTCCTATATAAAATAAAATTTCGTTAATATTCAGTATTTCATTTGTCAGTCACTATCGATGTGTATGTGTATTTCTGTCTTTACCCCCTCCCCCCGCTTTTGTTTTTCTAGTTCGATATTGATTCTCCTAAGGGTGGTTTCGTAGGAGATTTCTTCAATGAAAATCGTGATTTACATCCTTCAGGTAAGTAAATATATATATTTAACTGTTATTATTACTATTATTATTCCCTTGGATTCCGAGTGGAACATAGGTGCTTCAGGAGAACATCTCCATTTATTTCTGTTCTTTGTAGTCCTGTTTAGCTGGCCTCACGATTGCTTATAAGCTCTTGCCTCCTTACACAATATCCTTCATCTCACTTTCAGATGCGTTCACCCCGTTGTTTCCTATTTGAGTTCCAATGTGTAGCGATGGCCTGGCACGCAATGTCACCCAACAGTCTCTTAGTGTGTATCCAATCCATCTCCATTTTTTTCTGAATGTGTGATGGGCTTTCGTGTCTTTGTGACTTTTTTCTCGGACGTCCTTGCTGCTAATCCTTCCTGGTCAGCTATCTGATCTTCATCAATCAACCAACGAAGGCAGCTTTTGATGAAAGTCTGAAGTCTTTTGGGAATGCTTTTGGGTAACGTGCTTGTCAAACACACTGACTAACTTTACATGGATATTGAAAATCTTAAATTTTTGTTCCTTATGCTGTATGCAGCAGATTTCCAAACTGTCAATGTTATATAATTCGTGTATACATAATAATTTAATAATTCCCGTTGTAGCATTAAGAACACAATATTCAGCGAAGAGACTTTCTTTTCAACGAATTTATTATCAAGCTGTACAATCGCATATATATCGTTTTATTTAAGAAATTATATCCGGTGAGGGAATTAGATGAAATGTGTGAACACATGAAATAATAATAATAGTATGAAATGCAATTAACATATTTGTGATTATAATCATAGTTAAATGTCAAGTAGCAAAACAATTAATGTCATATATAGAATAATACATAAGGTGTATAGATGTTGGAAAGGGGTGCATAATTATAGGATTAGTAGGCGAATATAAAATGTTACATAACACGGTGTGAAATTTGATAAGATAGAATTCAATATTGTAAAAACAAAAAGAAATAATAATTTTGCATTTAGAATGACAAGTGGAAACAATTCAGAGTGAGAACAGTAATAATAATAATAATATTCGTAGTAATAAGGGAAAAGTACATAGAATAACTAAATAAACAAAATAAATAAATGTCTATCCCTCTACGGCCAAGGCAGAAGTAGGGATTGTACATACTTCTTTTGCACACAAAGGTCTGGTTTAAAGTCATGAATTGCTAAGGCCTCCGTTGTCTTGAGGGGTTTATAACGAAGAAAACGCGGCTAGCAAGTTAGCATGAACTTGGTAGATGATCTTAAAATTATGGTCAGGGTTGGCAGAGTGACAGGAGTCGATTAACTGAAGATGGTCAAGCTTCAGAAATGCTCAAAAATCGTCTCACTAAAGCAGTCAGTAAGACGTTCTTCGCAGCAAAATTACACCAGCCTCAAGTTGTTCTCCATCTCTGTAAAAGATAAGCTCCCCCGTCTGGCCGCCTACATGTGCATCTATCAGTTCACCTGCTATTGTGGAGCAAGGTATATTGGCCGTAGCCAGAGGACGCTTTCCACACGGATACGAGAACATATTTCAGCATGGTTTTACAAGGGAGAAAGGAAGGGTATGCGCAGCTCTATTCTAAAACTCCTGATCGACTCCTGTCCATAATTTTAAGATCATCTACCAAGTTCATGCTAACTTGCTAGCCGCGTTTTCTTCGTTATAAACCCCTCAAGACAACGGAGGCCTTAGCAATTCATGACTTTAAGCCAGACCTTTGTGTGCAAAAGAAGTATGTACAATCCCTACTTCTGCCTTGGCCGTAGAGGGATAGACATTTATTTATTTTGTTTATTTAGTTATTCTATGTACTTTTCCCTTATTACTACGAATATTATTATTATTATTACTGTTCTCACTCTGAATTGTTTATTCCACTTGTCATTCTAAATCCAAAATTATTATTTTTTTGTTTTTACAATATTGAATTCTATCTTATCAAATTTCACACCGTGTTATGTAACATTTTATATTCACCTACTAATCCTATAATTATGCACCCCTTTCCAACATCTATACACCTTATGAATTATTCTATATATGACATTAATTGTTTTGCTACTTGACATTTAACTATGATTATAATCACAAATATGTTAATTGCATTTAATACTACTATTATTGTTTCCTGTGTTCACACGTTTCATCTAATTCCCTTACCGGGTATAAATAATAACTTGTTGTTGTCCAGTGGCTCAGTAATAAAATTGCCTTAAGCCCTAATTCTAATATTCATTCTCTTCTCAAGTACTTAGGATGTGATGATTCCTCATGGCATATCGTCAACGGATACGCTAAATAACAAAAGCCGTAGCACTATTATATTTGTTGATATCCCGTTGATTGATTGGACCGAAGTGGTGGTTCCATCTCTGTTAATGTGTCGGCTCCTAGTACACGAACGTTTCGACAATAGTTGGGGATTAACTTTTGAGTGATTTGGCGGTTGGCAACTAGCAGTCGAATCAAGGATGTGCAGCATTTCGTTCTATTTTGGACTCGATGTACTGGATGTACTTGCATTCCCCAGTGAGTGGTGGTCTTCCCAAAGGGACTCGAACCCGATACCCTTGTTTATAGATGCCAAAACGGTATTCACTAGAACACTTGGACCACGAGAGAGCTACCTCTTGCGAGTTCTAGTCTCAGTGGAACACCTTCACTCACTGGAAAATGTAGGTAAATCCAGCTAACATATGCCAAACAGAACGAAATTCTCATCCTTGATTCGACTGCTAGCCACCATCTATCGAATTACTTCAAGTGTAGCGCTGTCATTAAAATTGAAAAAGAAAAACAGCGTCATTCTTTAACGAGTCACTTTGTCATTGATATCATCATTGTCATAAACATGAAGTTGAGATATAAATCAAATTTGCACTTCGCTATTTAAACAGATCGAGGAGTTAAAATCTCACCACAGTTTCCTTTGGGAATCAAATCACAAAACCGTATACCACTGGTCGATGGAGATGAGTAGTTTGTATAGCACTCATCACACCAACCAGTAGTAGTGCTTGCTAACCACCCAAGCGGAAGTTATCTAAACAGGTAGGTAGTTACCTGGGGTTCTAGTGAGAAGTCGTGACCAGTAGGGTGCAGCAGGTCGGGTGTGAGGACAAATACTCGCCGAAGACATTGGCTAGTGGTCGCTCTATGTCATGAATTGGCAGAAGTTAGAATTCATGGGCCATTGGATCGGGTCCCAGTGGCTTAATGGTCTACGAGCTAGCTCGCCTTGAAACCAGAAGATCCTGGGTTCGAACGCCGGTGGGTGCGTACCGATGAAGAGTCCCAAACCGTGCTGATGAAACAGCTGCCCAGTACTCCGTGGTGGTTTTCCAATGGTTCTCTAACTGATGTCAGCTCATGATGAAATCCTGTAACCAATCAAATCCCTACAAAGCAACACTTGATTATCTAAACACCGTTTGACGTCCATTTCCTTCGTTTTGGGTCGTACTCATCATCAATGGTGTACACGGTTTGACTTTAGCTCAGAGAGTTTGTGTTGAGAGAGAGGCGAATCACTTCAAACCACTCGATTTCAGGTTAATACTCTACTACTACTACTATGGCGAACTGGTATGTATATTAGCCGCCGGTGAATACATTTGAGTCGATACTAGCTAGCTAAAATATATAATGAGTCCAATCAACAGCATTATAATTCAAAATTGGCTAACTACTTTCTCTTTTTTTGATTGAAAAGTAATCATTGTAAAAAAAATACCTTTCATTCAACAAGTTCACATGATCACATTTAATTTTTCTATTGAAAACATAAATTTACTCTGAATGTATTTCACGTTTACATGTTTGCGTGTGTGTATATGTGTGTGTTTATTGTTTGCTGTCAGTTTTTCCTTCTCTCGTCATTTTGTTTGTTTTCATCTCGTTTTTCTACTTTTTTAAAAAATTTTCTGAGTAGTTGTCTTACTATCTATAAGTTGATTAACAACAATTGAAAGATGATTGATTCCCAGTGTTGTAGTGTTTTTTTCTTCTTCTTCAATGTTTCAATTCTTTGTGTATGTAGATCAGGCATATTGTTGTAAACTTTACAACTAACTAACTTTATAATTAGGTCATTTTTAAAACATTTTTCTCCTTCTTCTGTAGCTTGCATTGTTTATAAATGCATTTTATTGCTTAAAAGCATTATCCATTTTTGTCTTATCTTAGAGAAGCCTCACTTTACCCTTCATACGCTTAGCTCTGCTGTTAATATTATAGTACATTAGTATACATCTCATTCTGGAAAAAAAATTAATTATTACAGTAGTTGCACGTGAAGACCGGCAAATTTTTATCTCTTAGAAAATAAATTTGGTGCATCACAGGCAGCAACAGATGCGCGAGAGCTGGGATATACTGTCAGGACTGTCAAATTGAAGCAAATGGTTGTCCCTTAGGTGGGGCTACCCACTCCCTTGAGTCTTTGACTTGACACCTGATCCACAGATCAGTGGAGCAGTATCAGGAACTACATCCCTATGGTCTCCGGTGTTACCGAGACAGGTGTTCATATGCCATCCTGACCCCCTAGCCCATGTAAACGATAGGTTTGGAATCTAGGTTATCCAACTCCTCTTGTGTAGGTGGACCTAATCTCTACCAGTCCGGTTGTAAGAACCAGACGTTCATATTTGCCCTTTCACTTTTGTGAGGAATAACCTCGACGCGTGTGTGAAGGTGTAGCCATATGAAAGCATTTCGACAGGAAGATGGAAGTTTTCCCACCCTTGATCTCGTATCATTTTGTGTATTTTTTTATTCCTTTACGTTCCCAGTGGAACATAGGGCTTCAAGCTAGAGGCTTGAAGTTTCGGTAGCAGTAGTATTTATTTTTACGGAATAAGGTTGCTAGCATCATGCCCAACCTTCCCTCTTTAGCAGTCGTATTACTGGCTTAGCGAGGTAAAGGAGTGCGTCGGTGGTCGGGGATCGAACCCCTGACGAAATGTGTGTTTGGCGAGGATTTTACCATTGTACCGTCGAT